CGAAGAGACTACGAAAGGACATGGGCCCTTACTTCAACGCCTTCTGGCACCAGTGGGCGACCGTATACCTTCCGAACCCAGACAAGGTCTGCGCCGTCCCCTCACTTCAGCGGCCCAAGTCGTGCTCCCGTTTCCTTCGCAAGTGGGCGAGGTTCGAATGCAACGCCTTTGCGATGAACGACGGACTCAAGCTCGGAGTTTGGTGGAACAGAGCGCGCGCTCTCGCCCAGGAGAGGGCCGCGCCCACCGGCACCCCCAACAAGGGCAAAGGCAGAGGGCCGCGGGGGGGGGGGGGACGTCCAACGTGGCAGGACGGCGGGCTCCCAAGATGACCAGATTGGCTGTCCAGCTGGGGCATTCCTCTAGGCCCAGCCGCCAATCGACACTGGTATGACTGGGCAGGCCCCGGCTACCCAGCGGTGGGCACGCCTGCCATCGCGCACTCTCCACTGACGTGTTGATACCGTCTCGGACATGCCTGGCTGGGGCCCATGGCCCGCCCCTGGCTCCAGGCCCCACCTCCGGGGCACCCCTTGCGGCACACCGCCCCTGGGTGACTGCCGCCTCCCCGGCCCACCTTGGGCGGCCAGGGGCCAGGCCCTTCTGCGTTCCTCGGCACTGCTAGCGCCATCGTGGCATCACTTTGCAGCTCCTCGCTGCCCTGCCCTCATGCCCCTAGCGGCCCCATCGCCGTTGACGGTAAGACAGGGTTGTTGACGCACGCGTACTTAGGTCCCTCCTTGTCAGCCCTACCGAGCCGCGCCGGCACCGCTGCGGTGGTTTCGATGGGACAAGGTCAAAACATGACCCGCAGGGTGCGGTTCCGCAGAGCCTCGCGAGTGACCCGCTGCGCACTGGACGGTTTAGGCGGTCCCCTGCCAGACAACCCGCCCTTCGCTGGCAAGGTACCCCCTTTCTTTCCGCGACCATGGGCACTCAGTCCATATTACTGGAGGCACATGTGCCGCGGTGTTCTGGGCACATCGGGGGCCCACTTCTGATCCAGAACACAACGGGGGCGTCGCTGAGCACAGCTGCCCCGTGCCAGCGCAGCAATCTGTCTCAGGCGGATTCCATCCCAATCATTCTGCGGCTGTCAGCTGCTCCCTACCAGAGGCCCGGCAGACAGCAGGCGGAGTGACCCCCCTCCGCTTTGCGGCTGACGTTTACATTCGAACTGAGCAACGCGGTGACTGCCCCAGGCTAGCGCGGCAAATTTCTCAGACGAACCCTACTCAATCTTTCTGCGGCTGTCAGCTGCACCCTGCCAGAGCAATACCAATCTTACTGCGGCTGTCAGCTGCGGCCTACCAGAGAGCCGGCCCTGCTCTGTCTCAGGCGAAACATTTGTTCCCCTTTTCCTGCGGCTGCGAGCTGCACCCTACCAGGGCACCGCGCCCAGCCGTTCCCGGCCGACTCCAGGCTTCCGCGCCCGCCTACTGCCCCTTCCGCTGGGTGGGTCACTGCTGGCGGCGGTACCCCCCCCGCTCAACGGCTCTCGGCCCCCGCCCGTGCTCTGGGACGTCGTTCGCAGTTATTCCACCCGCCTCGCTGTTGTAGCTGCAACCCAGCACAGCTGAACCACCCACTGAAATTGCCACCGCTCTCACCCCGCCCCCTGCTGTGCCTGCCCTTCTCCGTCTCGCATTCGTGCTTCAGGAGTTGTGCTTCTTTCCATATCCTAAGCCCCATGCGCGGCATAGGCAGTGTCCGATCGTGGTCAAGATTTAGGCTAAAGAGGAAGTTGCGGAGCGCCAGAAGCTTTTTCTCACGCGGGAGGATATAGTACCCGTTGAACACACATCGACGCTGCAATACAACAGAGTGGGTGCACTCTCATTGAAGTTCCAGATGGTCACAGCTACGGTCAAGTTTCCGTGGAAGGCTATACTATCAGGTAAGGTGGTTCTCCCTGGACATCGCTTCGCAGTTCCCAGGTTTCGGAGGTCCTCTTCGGGCCCTTTTGGGGCTCTTTTTGGGCCATCTTGTGGCCCTCTTGTTGGCCGGGCCTGAGAGGTGTCTTGGGGCCGTTTTGGCCCCCGTAGCTCAGAAACGGGGGGGTCGTCAATTCAGGTATCCCCCTCGGAAGCACAACGCTTACCCTTTGTGGCCTTTTGGGGGCCTTTTGGGGGCGCTCTCGCGGCCCTTTTGGCAACATATTGGGTCCCTCTTTGGGCCGTCTTGGGGCCATCTGAGGCTTCGGATGCCCATCAGAAGCGAGTAGGCTAGAACGCACAAGTCACTAATTGTCCGAAGGTTTTGGAACTATGTTGGCCTCTCGGGGGGGTCCTTGGGCCCGAAGTGCACTTGAAACCATCTTGGGCCCGTCTTAGGCAGTTTTCGATGTATGCGGGAGGCTCTCTTGAGTCATTTTCAGATCTCTTGAGCCACATTAGAGGCCATCTTGGATTTTTTGAGGCCCTATTGGAACCATTTTGGGCCATCTAGGGCTCTCTAATGCCTCGTGCCCCCCCGCCTCCCAGGCCCAAGGGTGGGGGTATGGGGGAGTGGTGAGTCCCTCCCCCGAGCAGGGGAAGAAAGGGTTAAGGAAATAGAGGAGACAAAAAAGTTCGTTGAGCCACCTCAGCCCAGAGGGCGGGTGGGATTATTCGGGGTGCCTGTTGAAGCTAGCCAGGAATAGCGCGGGGAGGCAATTTGCGCGCAACCCGAAGCTTCACCAAGGAGGGCAACTTCGAGGGAGCGCTGTTCGACGGCGTCATCGCCACGACCGACAACGACCACTGGCGCAAGCAGCGTGCGCACCTCGCGGAGGCGTTTCTTCCTCTGAGCTCTCTGGCGGCCGTCCGTGGCGGCGCGCGCGCGGGGGCTGCACGAGGGCCACGAGGGGGCTGCGCGGGGGGGGGGGGGGCGAACTTCTACGACGGCGGGGTGGGAGGGTGTTAGAAGGCAGAGGGGCTTCAGAGGAGCCACCCGGCGTCCCAGGAAAAAGGCCTCTCAGGAGACTTTGTTGGAAGACCCTGGGCCCTCCAAAAAGCCCCATGCCTTCCAGGAAGCCCCCCCGCCTTCACAGAAGGCCTTCCTTGTTCGCGCCCCCCCCCCCCTCGCGCCACCCGCCGGCATCGCGAAACACCGCGACCACAGCCCTAGACCTCATCTTTCTGCTGCATGTTTTGGAGCCAGATCGATCTGTGATGATCCCGGGGTCTGAAATTTGGCGAGGACGCCAGTGTGAACACATTGCAGCGCTCGGCCACCCGAAGGCCAACTACAGTAGTCTCAACTGGCCCTCCGCTGATTCAGAGGAGGGACGGTGGGAATGCGGATTGGCTAGACGATGCTGAGCTCCAGCTCTTGCAGGATCAGCGCCGGGCGAAAATGCCCGGAGTGAAAATCACGAGACGCCTGGATCTAAGGGCCTTTCGCCACCACCGCGTGCGCGCCGCCAACATCCTGCCCACGTCGCTGGCCCGTGCCAAGCAGTGCGCACAGAGGCTGGCCGAGGCGTCCCGCGGAGGGGCCGAGCCAGTCGACATGAGCGACTTCCTGCTGCACGAAGCGCAGGCCCAGCGCAAGGGAAGAAACACGGTGACTATGACCGAGATGCCGCGGGATCTCGTCGACGCCGCTCTCGGTGCAACAACGTGAGGAGGGAGAGCGGATCAAAGCGAGCATTATCTCTTCATGTCGGGTTGCTGCATTTTCGGTACGTGCGCGGCGGCGCTGTCGCAGCAGGCGCGCTGTAATCAATTGCTCTGTGGCGGGGGATCGGGACAGATGGTCCGCATCCCCTACCGCGCGCTTGCCTGCGCCGTGCGCACGTTACACCACATGCTTGAGACAAGCGTCTTGGACGTGGAATCTTGTCGGCGCCGCTCTTGGTCATGGCCTATGCCGGCCGTCGCCGATTCGCGAGGACGTTCCACGAGCTGATGATGACCAAGATTCCGCGTCTAGTCTTGGTCATGGCTGCCGTCTTCTTCCCTCCACCGGCTGCAGCTGGCCCTCCTGGGCGCGCCAGAGGGCTTCATGGAGGCCACGAACGCCCAGCTCCGGGCGACCTTTGCGGGCGACTACGAGCCCGCGGCGCGCGCACCTCGGGGGCGGCGCGAGGGGCGGAGGGTCCGCCCTCGCCTCTCCTGGCTCTCCTGGGCCACCGGAGGGCCCTCCTGGGCCGGCGGCGAGGTCCGCCTGGCAGAATCCTGGCCAGATCGCACCGTGGGAGAGGTCCTGGGAGCAGCACGCCCAGTCCTGACATCCCCAGACCCCCTCGGGTCAGTGACAAATCACGACATGTTGGTCAATTCTCGGGCTCAGAAGGCCCTTGCTGGGCCCCATGGCCGACGACAAACGACTCGGGAGGCAACGCCGGTCCTGGGGAAGGGGTCCAGACTTCTGGAGGTCGACGTTGTGCGGAAGGATCACAGCAACGGAGTTCTGGGAAGAGGGCTCGCTAATTACTCCTGCCTCGTTTTAAGCTGTTCGGGCCTCTTGGGAGGACCTCGTCGCCACGGATGCATTCGCCCCATCGTGTCAGCACGCACCCGGGAGCAGCGGCATTGGGATTCTTTTTGTTCCCCGATCCAGGGGCGCGGCGCGAGGGGGCCGGCCACCTGAAAGGGCGGTGCCTCTTCTTTTGAAGGCAGGGGCCTTCTTCGGGGGCCTGGAGGATTTGTGGGCAGCCCTGCCAGAAGCGGGGAGGACTCATGAGAAGCCGCCTGTCTTCTCGGGAGCCTCCCCGCCTGCTCAGGAGGATGCCCCCCCCCGCCCCCCGCGCCATCCCTTTGGGCGCGCCGCCGGACAAGAACACCGAGGCTCACGGGGGCGAACATGTCCGCACTCCGTATCCGCGCTCTCGCGGTCTTGATTCCGGGGCGCCTCCCCGCGGATACGCGGTCGCACGGATCCGTTCCGCGCGTGGCATCGATCCGCGAAATAATTCCCCGCATCCGCGGGGCCGCGGCCCAGGGGCACGGCCTACACGAGGCCGCGGATGCGGATTTGTTTTTCTCCCACGAGAGGCGGGCGTGCTCGGCGAGACGATGAGGGCGCTCATGGACAGAGCGAGCGATCCGTCCTTCTCGCTGCCCAGCGACGGCTGCCCCGTCCGGGCCCCCCTGTCCAGGCAGTGTCCATCTGGATCCGATTCGATATCGGCTCAGACGAGGACCGATTCAATTCTCCGACGATCAGATGCGGCCCGATGTTTGCATGGCGTTGATGTGCATCCTGACGCAGCCGACCCGATTCAACTTTCATTCCTTGCCAATGCAGCCCGATCCGATGCACGTTTCGATCCCATCCGATTTCCCGATTCGATGTTGACTGTTCCTGGCGAGGGCGGTGGCGACGAGCGACTTCCCGCCGTCCACGAACTACGGCAACATGCTGCTGACCCTCTTCGCGGGCCACGACACAACGGGCCACACCATGACATGGCTGATCTTCGAGCTGGCGAGGCACCCAGCGCACCAGGCCGAGCTCCGTCGCGAGGTCGACGGCTTCTTCTGCGGCCTGGCCGGCCGCGAGCCAGAGTACCGGGACCTGGCCCACCTGCCGTTTTTGGACCGCTGCATCACCGAGGTGCTCCGCCTGTGGCCGGCGGTCGCCAGCGGCACCTACAGGCAGCTCCAGTTCGACGACGCCGTCACCGGGCCGGACGGTCGGCCGGTGGCGCTCCCACGCGGGACGCTGGTGCAGATCGTGAACTGGTCTCGCCACCGGAACCCTGACCTGTGGAGCGCCGACGCAGACCACTTCAACCCGCACCGGGAGTTCGCGCCCCAGGAGCTTGCCCGGGTCGGCTGCCCCGGCGCCGCCATCAGCCCAGAGTCGGAGCGGTTCTCCCCCTTCGCGCACGCCCCGCGGACGTGCCTCGGCCGCAACTTTGCCCAGATGGAGATGCGGCTCATCTCGAAGAAAGACACGCGGCGTGAGCATAAACTTCCGGAGGTCCGCGCGGATTCCTAGGATCGGCGGTGGGCCCCCCTGGCGGCGCCTGTGCGCGGGCCAGGGAGGGGGGTTCCAGCGCCCATCCTATGAATTCGCGCGGATATCCGAAAGTTTATGTTTATGCCGTGTGTTTTTCTTCATCATCATGGTCTATTTGCTCAGCCAGTTCGAGTTCACCTTGGCCCCCCCCTACGATTCCCTGCAGGGCGCCACCTTCGGCGCGGCTCCGGGGACGGCCGACTACCACGGCCTTGACGTCGCCACCATGGGCCCGATGGACCTCGAGCGCACGACCAAGCACTGGTGGGGCGAGCGCAGGTACACGGGGCTCAAGATGTTCGCCCGGCCACGGGAGACAGCGGCGTCTTGACTGCTGCCGTCCAACAGGAGGAGGCGACGCAGGCTCGTACCGTCTCGTGGACGCCTTCGTCTTGCCCGTTTTCGCGGCTCTCGGAGTCACACGAAGCAGCGCGAGCATACGCCTCCGAGAGGTTGACACTTGGATTGTGCAGATGTTTCTCTTGCTGAGGTTGTAGATTCGCCAGGATCCTGGCAGGTCCTGCCTGCCTTCTGTGCCTTCGTTGGTCGAGCTTCAGCGGGGGCCGTCCGCTCACACCGCCCGAGGCCTGCGAAGCCTGACCTCGGCGCCAGGCTGTCTTTTTTGCGTCTCCTCGCACGCACGGTTCCGATGTGCAGGGCCGCTGACCGCAGGTGAGCGCCGCCCAGGGCCGCGCAGTCTGCGTTGGGCAGGCTGAACAGTGCGACCCGCAGCGGTCCGCTCCAGACTCTACCTCTCGCTCGAAGAAGAAACAACGGCATACACATCAACTATCGGAGGTCCGCGCGGACGCTGGCCCCCATCCCTGCAGCGCGCCAGGAAATCTGCGCGGACTCCGAAAATTTCTGTTGATGCCATTTTTCCTTCCTCGAATCTGGGGCAGGGTTGACACAGCGCCTGCAGCGTTCCGCTTCAGGGGCTTCTCTCGCAGCCCCAGAGGTGCCCACCCCTTCCCCGGGTCCAGTTGCTCGCCCCGGATCCATCTGTTGTGGCCCTGGGGCCCGGTGATGCCCCCTGGAGGCTGAAACCGAAGAACAACTCCTGGATTGATAAAATCAGAAGCCCCTGTGCAAGGGAAGCGCGCCGACGTGGTGCTGTCCGACATGGCCCCCAAGATGTCCGGGCGCAAGACGGATGACCACATGGCGTCGGTCGAACTGTGCCGGTGGGCTCTGCGCTTCGCCGAGGCCGTGTTGAAGGACTTGCCGAGGAGAGGATTTGGAGCCAGTGACGCCTTGCTCGCTTTCGCCTCTCTGGGCGTCCCTGGGGGCCTCCGTCAGTGCCCTCGCCGCCACGGCTGGATCCGCCTCAGCTCTTTGAGCCTCCTTGGGGGCCTCCTCGGGGGCTCTCGCCGACACGGCCGGATTCGGCTTGGAATATTGGTACCGAAGCACCCCGTGAGAGGTGAGGGGAGTAGTGGCATCTGTAATTTTTCTTCGTTCCCAAAGAGCGGGTGGAGGAAGAGGAGGAGGAGGGGGAGGAAGAGGAGGAGGGGGATTTGGATGAGATTGAGTGGTTGGCTCCTCTTTCAAAGCAGCTGCTCAACAAGCGCGCTAAGGACTTGCTTAATGGACACCACTTTCAGGAGTGGTCGGCTCTGCGACGGACCAGAAAAAAGGCTGTCAAGAAAACGTGCCAAGGCGACATATGGCCGCCAGGCCGAACATACAAGCTACTCTGGGGCATCCTGGACAGTTCTCTTCACAGGAGACGGTTTGCCCCCAGCCTCAGTGGGATGGAGACCCCGGCTCAGCATCAATCGTTTCTCATGCTTCTTGTACAGAGGACTGCCTTTTAGGACATGCTTGTGCAGAGGCTGGAAAAGCCTGCCCGCGGCGAGGTCCAAACGGTGCTGAGATGCGCCGTGCTTGCCGCACTTCCAATAGAAAACTCGGGCACATGCTGCGTAAAGCACGTGCGAAGAATCTAATGACACATTCCACTAGGCCGGGAGGGCCTCACTGCGATCACTTCGGGTGAGCCGTCCATCGCGTGAGCCGCGGTCGTCGGCAAGCTCGGCCATCGTACTGGTCGACTCCTTGATCTCGTAGTTGCTGCACTCATAGACCTGCGACGGAAGAGGCGGACGCATCTGGTTCCGTCGTGCCACCACGAACCCACATGTTGTCGTCGTGGGCAGTCGTACGAGGCCGCGGATATGTAGGCTTATATTGAAGGAGATCCGCTACGCTCTGTAGAACCATGAATTCGCCGAACATACCCCAAGAATACTACATGGCAGATTTCTGATGTCACAATCCAAATACTCAAACAGACATCAACAAATACAGGCAGGATTTCGAAGATCCCATGCGAACGGCGTGCGTCGGTTCGTGTGCCGATAACACTCACGGCAGACAATCGCATATTGCATGGGCTCGAGAGGTCCGACCACGCGCAGCGATAAAGACGCAGCCTTCAGGGGGGCTTCGAAACCAAGCCAAGAGGAAACACGGCAGCAACGTAAACAGCACAAGCAAGTTGTGCGAGATAATGAGAGTTGAGAGGGGTGGGTGCACAGAAAGAGGACGGTAGCAGACACCATTTTTTGCCTACGAAGATTGTTCCTTACAATCGTTAGCCGTCCCCCCCCAATCTCCTCATTGCCTTCCTCCTTCAGGTCACCATCCATGTCCTTGTCCTCCGCCTCCCCTTCTTCTCCCTCGTCATTGTCCTCCCGCTCCTCCACCTCATTCTACATCTTCATCTTCTCTTCCTCCTCCGTCCCCTTTCATCATCCGATCCTCCCGCTGCAGCGGTCCAACCACCTCCTCTCCGACGAACGGCCCCTATCCCTCATCATCCGACCCTCGCGCGCGATCGACCCCCTGCCCTCCCAACCACCTCCTCCCCGACGAGCGGTCCCTATCCCGATCAATGTCGCCACCCCCTGAAATTCGATACAAAGAGGGGTGGGGTCTGGAGTAGAATGGTAAGTTCGGTTGGGCGGGGCAGGAAGGCGAAGAGGGTGGGGGGGGGGGGATTGGGGAAGAACGGAAGGGGGAGGGGAGGGGAGAGGAACGTATGGCGGAATAGGGACAGGGCGGGGGGCAGGGCACACTAGTGCAGAACAAGGCTGAGTATTACACGTAAAAGGACAAGGAGAAGAGTGAGCAGGGGGAAGACGGGGTGGATGAAAGATGGGCCATGCGATTATATGTCATGCTATGCTACTCTGGTTTTATCTGATGCGACTCTATGCCGTGCTATGCGCTATGCTTCCCTAAGCTTGTCCATGCCATTTCATGCCATGACATGTTTAATGCCATGTCGTACCATACCATCACAACCAATGACATAGAGTAGACACCATGGCGTAGGTCCAGCAGGCGAGAGCAGATCATACCATACCACGTAGTTAACTAAGCTACAGCAGACCAGGACACCCTCGTGCGGCGTAGGAGCATATGGGCAGACATGGCGCATAGCATGGCAAAGAGCATAGCATGGCAAAGCGCATGGCATGACATGACGTTGGATGCCATAGTGTCAAGCGTGGAGTTGCATGGCGTGGCATAGCGCACATGGTTACGCCGAACAGTCTGCAATCGGATGGGGGAGGAGGTGCCCACTGTGACCTGTGTATGGTTCCGCCCGCAGCCAGCCCCCGCCTTCAACGAGCGGGCGGTCTGTGCGTCTGGGCACCACCTGCTTTGCTCGTGGGGACTGTGCCCACGAACTCCCGCACGGAAACGGGCCGCAAGCGCGGCCAGCCAGGCGGTCGGGCAGCAACGACCTCCATCTTATTTCATTTTTAGCGCGTCCTTGTAGCGAGCCACCAGCGGTGGCGGCAAGTCTGTTGGCATCACGGCTGATTTGCGCAGCTTGCCCTCGATGGTCGTCATTTTGCCGCGCATCTCCACCTTGATCTTCACCATATCTGTGCCCAGGAAGCACTCGCAAGACCCAGTGTTGAGGAGGAGCCCGCGGACCGCTTTCACCAGCTTCTCTACCCCAGTGATGTGGGCAGGCTCGATTTTCATTCCGAAATCGCCCCCCTTCGACGCCAGCTCATCCTTGAGCGACTCGATCGTATCGCAATGATCCCACCACGATGTTACGGCGGCATCGTGCAAGCCTTTGCTTGTGTAGACGGTCAGCACCTCCTCCAAGGTGGCGGCGACGGGAGCCTTCTCCTCGAACACAGTAAAACCATGCGCCTCAGACATGGTACCGTCGATGGCCCTTACCTTGTCGACAAGGGCATTCCCAATCTTCTCCACGATGGACGCCCCGACGCGAGAGGTCAACTTCTTGGCATGATCCATCTAGTCGTTGATCGTTGCACTCGCATTGGGCTTGATCTCATCGAGCAACATTGGCTTCATGTGCTGCTTTTGCTCCTGCATGGCTCTGACAAGCTCCTTCGCCAAGCGCTCCAGGGTGGGTGAGCCGGTCGGTGCGGCCTCTGTTGGCGGGCCCATGTCTTCCGACAAGGCCTTGGACGCGACCATGGCCTTCCAAGAAGCGTTCATCATGCACGACACCTTATACCAAGTCTCGGCGTGGCCGTTCGGCACGTTGGGCGCAAGCGTTTCCATGGTGTCGTAGAAGGCCCCGTTCGTCTGCTGCACGAGGCCGAACTTAGAGTCCTCGATCGCGCCCCTGACGACGATCTGGGACAACTTGTAGCACTGCTCGCGGACATCATCAGGCAGCTCTTTGGCACGGCAATCGCGAAGGGCACCGCGAAGGCGACGCGACGGCTCAGCATCAGGAGCCCGCCCCCTGAGCGCCAACATGGTGGCGCCGTGCTTGGGCGCCAAGTTCAGGTCCAAGAGTTTGTCGTGGATCTGTTGCACAGCCTTCTCGACGTTCGCATCGGCAGGGGATAGGGCCGACATCTCCTTGAATAAGTCCTTGGACACGTGCAGGATAGCAGCCCGGCTCTCCTGCCCCTCCTGGGCGGGCGCCGCCGCGGACACCATCCCTCCAGCATTCGTCAACATGGCGCAAGCCTGCACCGCCTTCTCGAGCAACGCGTGCTTGACATGGTCGGACACGCCCTTGTAGATCCTAGCATGGGGATCTCCTTCGCAGCCGCCAGCATGAACACGCCGCTCGCCCTGGTAGGCGGCGCGTTCACAGCGATCTTGACCAGCTTCGCGCGGCAGTCCTGCAACTTCCCCCCGTGCTCCTGGATGGCCTCGGCGCGGGCGGTGGCCCAGTCGATCTTCTCCTGCCAGATGTCGCCGCAGCTCGTCAACGTCGCCTGGCCCGCGATGGCGCCTCGGTTGCCAGCGGCGCACGCCGCCTCCGAACTGGGGCAATCAATTTGGCCGGAGACGCCCAGCGTAGCGTCGGGCTTCAGCGAGGTCGAAAGTCGCACCTGGAGCGTTTCAGCAGCGGTGGTCGCTTGGAGGAGGAATTGCGCAGCCGCCCCCTTCAAGATGGCGCCCTCTGGGAGGAGGCCCAGTACGCCAAGCCCTGCTCGACGAAGAGCCTCGCATTTTCCACTCCAGCGACGCCTGCGCCCGCCCGTTCGCCGGGGTCGCGGTTGGGCTCCCAGCCCACGAACAAGTCGGCCACTTCGAAGTCGTTTTCGCACGCCTCGATCATCGCCACGTTGCGGGGGTCAATGTTGGCGTTGCCCTTCTCCCCAGGGTTAGCCCGCAGTGCGGTCGCAGCGGAGAACTTGTCCAAGTGGAGCTCCCCCCTGTCCTGGCCAGCGCGTGCGTCCGAGATGGTCTTCCAGAGCTAGTCGACGCGCCTCCTGGCGAGGCCTTTCAGCGTCTGTCATGGTAGCGCTTGCTTTCTTAAATTCAGCCAAATGTTTCCAGAGGTCTTCGTCTGTCTCCGTCTTGCACGTTGAGGGGCTGAACTTATTTGCCCTGCTGTGCAAGTCCGCGCGGGCCCCCGAGTTCTCGCGCTCGGCGCCGGCGACGTTGCCGCGCAAAATCTTCGCCTGGTTTTCAGCCCGCCCATTCGTGCACGTTGAAGTCCCAATGGGGCCTCTACTCGAATACCCAGTAGTCTACCGTGCCGCACGCGCGGGGGTTGACCAAGTCATCGCCCGCTCCTTGTTTCGGGGTTCGGGGGATCGCCCGGCGAGAAACGGCGTCGGAGACGCAGAGGGCGGCCGTTTGAGCGGGGTCTTGCCGCTCTCGTCGCACAGCGCCGCCGCGGCAGGCTGCCTCG